GTTTCCCCAGCTGTTCCGGCTCTTTGGGAGACTCGGACTTAGACATGATGGCAGTGGGAAGAGAGAGTTCAACGATACTTCCCCAGCGGCGTCCACAGGCAGAAAGGACTAATTTTTTTTTTGAGAGGTTTTCACTATAGGGCGCATGTGCTCGCCAGACAGACAGAGAGAGACAGAGACAGAAAACGAGAAATCAGCCCCCGGGGGGATGGCCATGCTGCAATCCCTTCTCCTCCATTCTTCTCTCGGGATCTTGGGCATGCACACGCGCCCGGTGTGAGTTTTAAGCCACTGGGCCCGGGACGCGAACCATGGTCGACTACGTGGGAGTCCAGCGACATGGCCATTATGCTAACTGCTGGTTCCTCTAATTATTTTAATTTGACCAGAGAGGAACAGAGTGAGAGAGAGGGAAAGTGAGAAAGCAAGCTGCCAGGTCTGGGACTTGAACCACAGTCAACCATGTGGGAGTCCAGCCCCTTTAACTATCATGCCACCTGCCGGCCCTAATTATTTTTTAATTTTTAATTTTTTTTTTTTCCATAGGGCTTGTGCGCTCACTGGAGACAGAGAGAAGGAAAGTGAGAAATTACTCCTCCCAGGAGGGGAATGGCCACGCTGCAATCCTTTCTCCTCTTTTGTCCTTTCAGGATTTGGGGCAAGCACCCACAAGCACTCGGCATGAGTTTTAAACTGCCAGGTCCAGGACTTGAATTGTGGCCGGCTGTGTGGGAGTCCAGCAACGTAACCATTACGCCATCTCCTGGTCCCCTGGACTTACCGTATGGGGTTACATTTATTATAAAAAGTGCATACAGTGGGATTCATCACCTGCCGAGCTCGCAAACACCCACTTACAGCTCCAGTGAGGTGTGCTGAGGGTAAAGGCAGGGAGGCAGGGAGGCAGGCTGGCTGTGGTGACTGGAAGCAAACTCCAGAGGGCAGGGCCTTGTCGGGTGTGCTGCTCTCTCACGGAGCCCAGGCTGGTTCCGACATGTAACTAGTAGGTGTCCGAAGGTATGTGTGAGTAAATGAATGAAGACTGCTTACACCTAATTGATTATTGGATATCCTCTAAAACAGAAAGATGATTGTGGGCCACCTGGTGGTATAGTGGTTAAGGCACTGGATCCCACAGGGTCGACCACGGTTCGAATCCTAGACTCAGCAGCTTGAAACGCATGCTGGGTGTGTGTGCAAGTGTGCCCACAATCCCAAGAGGAGAATGGAGGAGAAGGGATTATGACTTGGCCATCTCCTCTGGGGGGTGATTTCTCACTTTCTGTCTCTCTGGCGAGCACACGTGCCCTGTAGCAAAAATCTCTCTCTCTCAAAAAAAAAAAAAAAAAAAAAAAGTTGTTGTTACTATCTTCTTTTTCCAAAGATAAGCTGTTCTCAGTTCCCGTTGGAGGGATTTCTGAAATCACATAATAGTCATTCCTCTGCTTATTCTTTTTCAAGTGTTCTTTGTTTGGTTTTGTTTTTGTAATTTACCTGAGAGCATGTGTGCTGGCCAGAAAGGGCAGGTAGAAACATCCCCGACGGGGTGTGGTCACGCTACGGTTCCTTCTCCACTTCTCCACCCTGTCAGGATTTGGGGCACACACGTACATGTCCAGTGTGTTTTCAAGCTGCTGGATCTGGGACTCAAACAGCCCTGTGGGATGTGGCTCCCCTAACCAGAAGGCCATGCGGCGGGGCCTCCCTCTGCTTATTCTGCTCCTGGGCTTTTGCCTGCAGGATGGACACCCTTTCAGACAAGGTCACTCTCTCTCTGCTGCCTCCCCTCACTCGTCCTGTCCTTGCACTTCTCCCATCCTGGTGTCTTTTCCTCTGCTGGGATCTTTTCCCCTACTCACCTGCTTGGCTAATCCCTTAAATGAAGTGTTCTCATTTTTTTTTTTTTTTTTTTTTAGAGAGATTTCTTGCTAAAGAGTGCGTGCACTTGCTGGAGAGATAGAGAGGAAAAAAATGAGAAATATCCCCCCAGAGAGGATGGCCACACTGCAATCCCTTCTCCTCCATTCTCCTCTTGGGATTTTGGGCATGCACGCACACGCATCAGGTTTGATTTTCAGACTGCAAGATCTGGGATTCGAACCATAGTTGGCCATGTGGGAGTCCAGCGCCTTTACTGCTGCACCACTTGCTGGTCCTGGAAGTGTTTCCATCTTGAGAAAGCTTTTCCCTCTCCTCTCCAGGTTGTCACTTGTGCGTATACTGTTATGCTTGCTTTTCTTTTTCTTTTTTTTTGGAGACATTTTTGCTATAGGGAGCGTGCGCTCACCAGAAAGACAGAGAGAGACAGAAAGCAAGAAATCACCCCCCGGGGGGATGGCCATGCCACAATCCCTTCTCCTCCATTCTCCTCTTGGGAGTCCCGGCATGAGTTTAAGCCACGGGGTCTGGGATTCGAACCGCAGTCGACTACATGGGAGTCCAGCAACAGAGCCATTACACCATCTGCTGGTCCCGTGCTTGCTTTTCTTGAAGCCCTTAATGTTTGTCACTGATATGAGTGGTTTGTCTCCATTATCACACTATGAAACCCTATGGGGCAGGGATTGTATGCCAATTATGATTAAAAAAAAATGGGGGCCGGTAGGTGGCATGGTGATTAAGGGCATTGGATTCCCACCTGGCTGACCACGGTTCAAGTCCCAGACCTGGTGGCTTGCTTTCTCTCTCTCACTCTGTCCCTCTCTGGTCAAATTTAAATAAATAAATAAATAAAGTTAAAATAATTCTTTTTTTAAAAAAATGACCAGAGGGCACATGTATTGGCCAGAAAAATGATTATGTCACAATCCCTTCTTCATTTCTCCCTCCTTTTGGGATTTTGGACTCTCATGCTTTACATGTGCCTGACATGTTTTTTCAAGCCTATGGGTTCAGGACTTGAACGGCACCATCAATTATGTGGAATCTGACTGTTTAAAAAAAAATTACAGATTTTTTTTGGATATAGGGCATGTGTGATTGCCAGAGAGACAGAGAAAGAGAAAGAGAGACAAAGTGAGAAATCACCCCCTGGAGAGAGGGCCATGCTGCAATCTCTTCTCCTCCATTCTCCTCTTGGGATTTTGGGTACACACGTGCAGACACACACACACATAAACCCAGCACTAGTCTCAAGGGGCTGGGCTGGGACTGAAACTGTGGTTGACTAAGTGGGAGTCTAGTGCCTCAACTACTCCGCCACCTGCTGGTCTTAACAGTTGTTTCAGCTGGCTTAACCACCAGCTCTTTGTGTCTCTGAAATGACCACCGGTGTGCGGAGCAGTCAATAGAAGTTTATGGAGGGGCAGTAACAGTTCCAAGCCAAAGGGTGGACCTGTGTCCACCTCTCTTGGTGGCTTTTCATTGTGCCTAACTGGGTCTTGGTCCTGGACAGGCTCTGGAGATCATCCGGGGGTGTCAAGGCCTGAACGTGGTGGGCTGTGATCTCGTGGAAGTTTCGCCGTTGTATGATCTTTCTGGTGAGTCAGCAAGACTGATCCGTATGCAGCTGCTAGTGTAAATGACTTTAATCTAGCTCATACATAGGAAATGGATGAATTTCCTTATACAACTCAGGGCAACTAGCCGAATGTGTCCAGCAGTGAAGACAATGAACCTATCACTGCATGTCTTCCACACACAAGCTCCTTACCCTAACAATCCCGGGGGTGGGGGGTGGCTGAGTATCCTCAGCTTGCCTATGAATCAGCAGAAGAGAAAGAAACCAGCCTGCAGGTTAGTTCCATCCTCCTTTGATATTTCATTGGATAGTGGATTCTCAAAGCATGACTACTACTTGTTAATATTGATAAACAGGGGAGTTAGCTAGTTAAGTGCCTCAAAGCAGATGCCAGCCCAACGATTGTAATCCGGAATCCAGATAAACTCGAGAGTTAGGCCTATTAGCCTCAGAGGGTAGATAATAAATTCAGTATATACATTCTAGGTTTTCCCTTGGAAAAAATCTGTTCTGAGTAAACAAACAACCTTCTGAATTTTAGAATACTATTCCCATGAGGCCTGATGAAGGCGGAAACCAGGGAGTGGTGGTTGGGCGGCCCCAAGCAGCTTGGGGAAGCCTGGCTCTGGGGAGGAAGCAGGAAGGCTGGAGAGTGGGAGTTCCCAGAGGCTCGGCCTGGGGCTGTCCTCAAGCAAGGCTCTCATGTCTGCTGTTACTTCTCCCTAGGAAACACCGCCCTCCTGGCCGCTAACCTGCTGTTTGAGATGCTGTGTGCCCTCCCCAAAGTGAAAACCGTCTGAGGCTTCTGTTCTCCGAGACAAAGCAGATTGCATCTCTGATGCTCTCAGAACCCGTGAACCCCGAGCACTAGTTGATGTGTCAGACTTCCTGCTAACTGTGCCACTGGCTGTGAAGCCTAGGTATTCAGAAGAACTCTAACCCAATTAATGAACATTTCTAGGGAGTCCGAATTGACTGCAGAATAAAGGGAAATACCAGAGCCAGCAGGTGCCGTGGTGGTTAAAGTGCTAGATCTCCCATGGCTGACTGTCCTGGACCTGGCAGCTTGAAAATCACGTGCATGTGTGCCCAAATCCCAGAGACTGGAAAGGGCTGCAGCGTGGCCATCCCCCTCGGGGGGTAATTTCTCACTTTCTTTCTCCCCAGTGAACGCATGTGCCAAATACAAAGAAATACATATTCTGCCTTTTTTTTTTTAAACTTTGGATGCCAGATGGTAGGGGGAGGGGATAATTTCATTCAGGATCATCTAAGAAGTAGAGAAATGAAATTTAAAAGACCCTGTGAAGTAATGTTGTATAGGACTGGCACATGGTTAAGGGAGCTGAGCCCTGTGTCTGAACCCCAGCATGAGTGGCTAGGCGTTGCAGGAGTGTGTGCCCCGAATCCTGACAGGATGGACAGACAGGAGAGGGGATTACAGCATGACCATGCCTGTGTGTGGGGTGCTTTTTCCTTATGCCCCACTCCCTGGCAAGCACACGTGCCTTCTGACCAAAACAAAACAAACCTGTATAAACATTCTGTATTTCTATTAGGTCGTTGGGAAAGTCATGGAGCATTTCTGCACAGAAAAATCCATCATGACTTTGCAGACAACCTACTGTTTTTATAGTATCTTCCTTTAAAATAACAGCTCCTCAGGGCCAGCAGGTGGTATGGCAGTTAAAGGTGCTAGACTCCCACATGGCCAACTGCAGTTCAAGTCCTGAACTTGGTGGCTTGCTTTCTCACTTTTCCTCTCTCTTTCTCTCTGATCAAACTGGAAAATAATAACAACACATACAGTTAACTAAGATAATTCTTTAAAAAATTATGCCTCCTCCTCTGAGGAGCTTAGGGCTGCATTTTAGTTTTAGGGGTACTGTGAACATAAATAAAAAGTTTGAAAGAGACTCACACACAGACCTTAAAGGCGGCCCAGGAGGGTGCACGAAATGTCCTCCTCCAGACACTGCCAGCTGATCCTAGAATAAAATGTACAGCCTATCCTGTGTAAGAGTCGCTTTTTTTCATAGGATTATTTGCTCAAGCTCATGCTTTTTTCTTTTTCCCTGCTATAGAGTGTGGGGACTTGCCAGAGAGAGACAAAGGGAGCATGAGAAATCCCCAGCACTGCAGGAATGGCCACACCACAATCCCTCTTCCTCCATTCTCCTTTCAAGATTTTGGGCACTTGGGACTAGCAGATGGTGTACTGGTTACATTGCTGGACTCCCACGTAGTTGACCGCGGTTCGAGTCCTGGACCCAGTGACTTAAAACTGACGCTGGGCACATATGTATGCATGCCCAAGATCGCAAAAGGAGAATGGAAGAGAAGGGATTGCGGCGAGGTCAGAAAGCAAGACTTCTTGCTTTCTGCCTGTCTGTCTTTGTCTCTCCGGTGAATGGATACGCCCTATAGCAAAAATCTCTTAAAAAAAAAAAAAGATTTTGGGCACACACACATGCTTGGTGTGTTTTTCAAACTACTGGCTCCAAGACTCAAACTACACAGTCGGCCATGCGGGATGCAGCCACCTTAAACAGCACGCCACCGGCTGGCCCCCATGTCCCTTCTATGACAGCGATTCTTTTTTTTTTGGAGAGGTTTTTGCTATAGGGCGCGCGCGCTCGCCAGACAGACAGAGAGGGACAGAGAGATAGAAAGCGAGAAATCACTCCCCAGGGGGCATGGCCACGCCGCAATCCCTTCTCCTCCATTCTCCTCTCAGGATCGTGGGTGTGCATGCACACGCGCCCGGCGTGAGTTTAAGCCACCAGGTCCGGGACTCGAACCACGGTCGACTACGTAGGAGTCCAGTGACACAGCCATTACGCTAACTGCTGGTCCCATGACAGCGATTCTTGAAATCTGTACTTAGGCCACGTGCCGACCTTACTATTGTTGAGTTATATGCTAATTCAGTTTTGTTGATGTGTCCATGACCAAGCCTCATAATCATCACACATTAAAATAGTTTATTTCTGTTTCAAGTCTATAATATTCTTAAAACAAAATAACATTAGCATCAGTGCCTATTCACAATACAAAAAACAAAAAAAAACAAAACAAAAACATAAAAAAAGACACAATTTGCCAAATAAGTTATTTGTTCCTAAGAGTATCAAAAGTGCAAAAGATTCACCTTCTTTTCCAGATCTGTCTCCCAAGTAGAATTATTCTCCTTGACAAACTGAACAGAGGCGCTCGGCAGCTGCCGGACGGCATTTATTTTCAAGGAACAATGTCAGATATTTGAATGTGAACTAGAGTTCGTGGGCAAAGATGTTCTGTATCAGCTTTTCTAGAATTCTACTTTAAAAAAAACCCAAAAGTTTGAATGTTTGCTTCCAATCTGTTTCCAAAGAAAGGACATCGCTTAAGACACTGTCAGAGCCCATTTCTCTGTCTCAGGAAAACATGCCTGTACTAATGGCAGCTGCAAATTGATTAGGATGATAATAGATGAAAAGGTGTGAGTAAGCGGATGAGGAAGAAACCACCTTATTTCAAAACCAACCAGATTCTCAGTCAATAGACGATGGCAGCGAGACCATGGCACCTGACGGAGGTTTGGGCAGCCTGGCTCGGGAAATGTTAGTCGGGGCTGACGGCCTCTGGGTTAGACAGTACGTGCAGCCAACCTGTGAGCAGTATTAAGAAAAACTTGAAACGGACGGTGTGTGTTCTAGGAAGACTGTCTTAGGCCAGTTTTCACCCCTTCTGGTAATATGATACATAGTCTGTATCGACCAGAAAAACCTATCTCTAAAGTCGTCAGTGTTCCTATCTGAAGACGAGAGAGTTACAGCCCCAAATCGGGTCCTGCGTGATCGCACACACCAGAGCGAGAAATGGCGTCGTCGGCTGAGCCTGACGGTGGCTCCTAAATTCCTCATGAAAGTAAACAACTCATGGAAACAACATGCAGGAGAAAAGGCTTAGCTGGTCAAGGGTAAAGCTCAACTTAAGATGAAAGCCCCTTGTCCTCCTGGGGGACATATCTACCAGCCCGCAAACAGATCTGTAGAAGCCTTTCTACAGAAACAGATGAAACATTTGCCAGGAGTATCGTCGATCCGATGGCCACTTTCCTCTCCTAGTGCAAACGGAGGGTGTGGCTGTCTGGAGGTGCTCATCTTTTCATGATAAAAATGTAAAAGACAAACAAATCTGGGGAGTTTTTGGTTTTCAGAAACTATAGTCAGGAACTTCACTAAGTACCAGAAGCTAAAAACAAAGACCTACCACTGAACCAAAGTACTACTCATATGAGGAACTTGGCCAGAAAAGACCCAGAAAGTACTTCCGAGGACTCCTCGACTAGGCCAGGTGCCGTGAGGTACAGCATTCAGAGTGTGCATCCATTTTCCGAGGATCCCAAGGAAGAAGGAGGCCTGACAGTGATCTCGTTTTTAATAAAGCTATAGACTCGGTGGAAACTACAGGAATTCCTGGGCTCAAATAATTTATTACTTACCATGGTAGCTAAATATTTAAATTATTGAGGATTCAAGTGGCTTACTTAAAGCAATTCTGATGCGATCAATACTAACTCAGTAACTGTCACATCAGTGATTTTCACCCTTCACTTTGCAAAGGGGCAATTTGCTTTGACATTCAGACTGTTCTTAGAAGTGGTCCAAACTCCACCGGTGGTTCTGCCCTCAACTTATAGGGCAATGCTCTCTAACCGGCTGGTGCGCTCTGGCCTGGAGTGCATCTTACACCGGATCTCAGGAAGCTGGGGTGCTGATGATCAGTCAGACCCTGATACTAGTGAAGCGGCTGTAGGTTAAGAGTGAAAACAACTCAGATGAGACATCAAATTATAGGTCAGAAGCAGAAAGTAAGCCTCTTGTAAAACAGGAGTCCAGGCCAAGTCTTGGCTTACCTGCCACAAAAGACGACTTGAATAGTTAACAGCACTTTTGGGGTGCTGGGATAACAGTGTTCAAAATACAATTGTTGAGAAATTTTAAGTTCCTTGATAAAAAGACATGTCTGGTACTTTACTAAAGATACACCACTGGCGTGCACAGGCTTCTGGAGCCTGACTTCCAGCAGGTGGGAGAACTTTGTCCTCAGGGTAACATCTACAGGCTTTATAGCAGCTTATCTCTACGTTCAGAGAACAAGATTACAAGTTATGGCTCCTAATATCCATACCCTAAATTCGAGAGTCAGAAAGGCATCTGAAAACATACACATCAACGGCTCAAAGGCATTACAGTACTTCTCGCTGTGCGACCCCTCCCCTGCCTCCGGCAGTGCTGGAAGTTGGAGGGTGGGATGCTCACAAAGGATCCTGGAGTTGCATCGCTATCATGCCTGGCCCTCCCTTCCCTTTCCTTGGGAAGAAACCCAAACTCATATGCAAAAGTCCCCACTCATCCCTTTTGTTCTAAAACTGTGGCTAATAAACTGTTGTGGGGGATACCCCCAAAATACACTTTTAGCCATTTACTCCCAGAACCACCACGAAGTGTAAGATTGCTTGGAGCCAGGCTTCTTTCAAGATGCAGGGCCCAGAGTCACTTGGTTAGGTGTTAAGAGCATGCGCCCTGGCAGAAGCACAGCTGGGGCCGGGAGGGCAGGGCCTGAGGGTAGGGATGGACACACATGCACCAGGGGCTCAGGAGGTTCCATCCAGGTAATGCTGCAGGGCTAAGCCCTGTGTTTCTCCACAGAAGAAAAAGGACAGAGGAGGGTGGTGTGAACATGGGACAGGGACGACACAGGAAGAGGGGATGAGCAGTCTATTTTAAACAGTGCAGCATTCAAATGAGGGGGGAAAAAACCCAAAAGAAAAATATTTTGATCTAGGTAATTCGAACTTCTGGTGTTTTTCACTCCTAGGTTAGAACAGGATAAAGGAAAGAGTCTTCTAGCCATTGTACTAGAAGAGCGATCTAAAATCTATACTCTGTTCTTTGTGATGGGTTTGAGTCCTGAAAATACCTGCTCACGGGGCATGTTAAAAAGTCTGAAGAGTTCGAATCTCTTTGTGACCCTCTCAGTCTAGCTCAGGCCATGACGGGATATAAAACCTCTGTAAGGAGCCTTCCAACAGCCGCTCCATCCATAAGGACAACTTGCTGAGTTTCCCTCTGATGGGCCTGGAGCCGAGGCCACAGGAAGATTTTCCTCGAAACTCCCCTGGGTGGACGGAAGAGTCCAGGTCACCGCACGACCCCATGGCTTCCTCCTCTTCAACTGTTTTGTGGGGCTTGAAGAGGCAGAAGTACTTCTTGTGGCCATTCAGAGCCAGTACATAACCAGTGTAGTCACGTTCCATAAAATGCTTATCATACTGGTTTGGGATTGGGGCTGCATCTTGAGCAAATTCTAGTAAGTATTCGAGCCATTCTCTGTGTTTGTCGAGGCTCAGGAAGGAGAAGTGTAGGCAGCTGCTCCTGGAAGAAGAACAGAACGCGGATTCAGGGTGTTTCTTGACACATTTAATTGCAGGGAACATAAACACGCTTGCCAGACTTCAAATAACAGGAAAAAGGGCCTGAATACAGCAAAACTGAAAGATTGCTGAGTAGATCCATATCTGGCTTCTGGAAAAATCAACAAGGGCTAAAGAACAGTCAGTTTTCTGAGTAGCACTGAGTTCAAGTTCAAGCTCTTCTGTTTAGAAACATGATTACATGAAGTCCCCCCACCCCAATGAGTAAATACCTAGGTCAGAAAAGTCACAGCTGACAACTCACTGCGTGGACAAAGCCCCACACAGCTAGAGGAGAGGGTACAATCTCTCGCTTCCCTCTCTACTCACATGTGTATGCTCCCTCTGCCTCTCCTCTTTTCACACGTGCGCACACATACACACACATGCACATGTGCTTACCCAGTGAATGTGTAGACCTCCAAAGCGAATTTCTGCAGCAGGCTGGTCTTGGTGGAATTTGACAGGATGAGAACCACGTTCATGTGGCCTGGCCGCAGACGAACCAAGTTACTGGTGTAAGTTACATCTGTGAGCTCAGTGACTTCCACAAAGCCTTTTTTAGGAATCTTACTGTGGAGAAATATTAGCGTTAAGATGTTATCAAGACAGGGAAATGTCATTACTTCCAAAGGAAGGAGTAGAAGAAAGTGTTCTAGTCAGACAAGCTACGCTATTTAACAGGCTGAGTCTAACACTTTGGCAGGAGCGGGGGTGACTCTGATTGGGAGTCGTAGACCTACCAACAGCCATTTTTTCCCCCTTAAGTGATTTATTTATTTTTATTTATTATTATTTTAAAACATTTGCTATAGGGAACCAGCAGTTAGCGTAATGGCTATGTCGCCGGACTCCCATGTAGTCGACCGCGGTTCGCGTCCCGGACCCGGTGGCTTAAAACTCACGCCAGGCGCGTGTGCGTGCGTGCCCAAGATCCCGAGAGGAGAATGGAGGAGAAGGGATTGCGGCGTGACCATCCCCCCTGGGGGGTGATTTCTCGCTTTCTGTCTCTATGTCTCTCTCTGTCTGTCTGGCGAGCGCACGCGCCATATAGCAAAAACCTCTCCAAAAAACAAAACAAAACAAAAAATTTGCTATAGAGAAGGGTTGGCAGGTGGCATGGACTGGCAAGGCACTGGACTCCCACATGGCAGACTGTAGTTTGAGTCCTGGAACTGGCAGCTTGTTTTCACTTTTCTTTTCTCTCTCTCTCTCTGGTCAAATTAAAAATAACAACAACAAATAAAATTAAATAAATAGTTCTTTTTTTTTTTTTTAAAGAGGTTTTTGCCTTAGGGCGCAGAGCTCAGAGACAGTGAGAGGAAATGCAATAAATCATTCCTTAAGGGGGATGACCATGTCGCAATCCCTTCTCCTCCTGGGATCTTGGCCATGAATACACACATGCCCAGCATGAGTTTCAAACCACCAGGTCCAGGACTTGAATCCAGTTGACCATGTGGGAGTCTAGCACCTTAACTGCTATACCACCTGCTAGCCCCAAATAACTAATTTCTAAAATAAATAAATAAATAAATAAATAAATAGGCTATAGAGCATGTGAGCTCACCAGAGAGAGAGAGAGAGAAAGTGAAAAGCAAGCCTCCAGGTCCAGGACTCGAACCACAGTCGGCCACATGGGAGTCTAGCACTTTAACTACCACCCACCTGCTGGCACCCCAATGGCCTTTCGGACAGTATTCCGCTGGCATGTAAGTTGCTTTAGGACTGAAGAAGGCGGCAGTTACCATTCAGGCTGTTTTCTTTGTCTAGAGACCCTGGCCCCTGGGCATGTGCTCATGACGCTCAATCATGAATACAATGATGGTGACATGCTCTCTGCTTGTGGCCTATATGCCTTCTGCCCCAACACGCTCCTTTGCTTCCTGCCTCCTGCCTCCATTATTATTATTATTTTTTTTTTTGAGAAGTTTTTTGCTATAGGGCGTGTGTGCTCGCCAGAAAGACAGAGAGACAGAAAGCGGGAAATCACCCCCCAGGGGGGATGGCCACGCTGCAATACCTTCTCTTCCATTCTCCTCTCGGGATCTTGGACATGCACGCACACATGCCCAGTGTAAGTTTAAGCCGCCGGGTCCAGGACTAGAACCACGGTCGACTACATGGGAGTCCAGCAACATAGCCATTACGCTAACTGCTGGTCCCCCTGCCTCCATTATTAAATCTGAGACTGAGAAACTGGGTCTCAGGCCATGAGATAAGCAGGTCCTATACCGAACGCCCAGAGGTCTGAGTGAGCTCTTGTCAGCAGCGGTTCCTGCCTGTACCCATTCACGCCGGGGTGAGGCAGAGTCCCCACGTACCCTGCAGCATCTGCACTGCTTTATGTGGCCATGTGCCCGTGGGCCTGGTGCTGCGGGGAGGTGGGCTGGGCTTTTGCTAGACGCACCTGCTGTTCTCCTTGGCAAAGCTCGGCTCCGTCTTCCCAGCTTTCTCTATAGGGCGTGTGTGCTCGCCAGAAAGACAGAGAGACAGAAAGCGGGAAATCACCCCCCAGGGGGGATGGCCACGCTGCAATACCTTCTCTTCCATTCTCCTCTCGGGATCTTGGACATGCACGCACACATGCCCAGTGTAAGTTTAAGCCGCCGGGTCCAGGACTAGAACCACGGTCGACTACATGGGAGTCCAGCAACATAGCCATTACGCTAACTGCTGGTCCCCCTGCCTCCATTATTAAATCTGAGACTGAGAAACTGGGTCTCAGGCCATGAGATAAGCAGGTCCTATACCGAACGCCCAGAGGTCTGAGTGAGCTCTTGTCAGCAGCGGTTCCTGCCTGTACCCATTCACGCCGGGGTGAGGCAGAGTCCCCACGTACCCTGCAGCATCTGCACTGCTTTATGTGGCCATGTGCCCGTGGGCCTGGTGCTGCGGGGAGGTGGGCTGGGCTTTTGCTAGACGCACCTGCTGTTCTCCTTGGCAAAGCTCGGCTCCGTCTTCCCAGCTTTCTCATGGGCTTCCTCTTTATCTGGAGGGTTTGACTCTCGCTCATCATTTGAATCACTAAAGTAAGAAAAAAGGAATTTTATGAAAAAAGACAGACAGGTGGAAAGAACGAACGACCATGGGGGTCAGGCCTCTCCCCCGCAGAGCACACCGAGAAGCCACGGGCGTTTACCTGAAAGCCTGGACGATGACGGTACCGAAGAGGATGAAGAGGGCAGAGAAGATGAGGGACAGCAGGGGCATCATCTCCCGCCTAAAATCAAGTGCACAGGCTTTACTGGCTGCCGACAGGGGCCGAGGCTTTAGGTTTCTTCTCTCCCACTCAAAGAAAAAATATCCCAAACTAAAAGCTTTCACACCGATGAACATTTTCTCATTTCATACAAATAAAGGGCTTTTTGGAGGGTGGTGGTGGTGGAAGAGAAGGTAGAGACTGTGTCCTCAATGCCCTACCCACAGGTGGCTTATTCTGATTCCCTCTCAGTGTAAGGCTGTGCTTAATAAATTCCGCATAAGGACACAGTAAGAGGGATAATAGGGATTTAAGTAGTGAAAAATGGAAGAACTTCCTTTCTTTTTAATTGTCAAAGGGTGCATGAGAGAGAGAGAGAGAGAGAGAGAGAGAGAGAGAGGAAGCACTGCACCCTCCAATGGGGTGTGATCATGGCTCAATCTCTTCTCCTCCACATCTCCAATCCTGTTGGGATCTTAGGCATGAAAATGTGTACATATTCTTCCACTTGCCCATATCAAGTGTACCCTGAAATCAAAGGGGGATGGACTCCTTTCAAAAGATAAATGGTGATACTGGTATTAGCAGCACGCCAGAAAGTCCGCGGAGCCACATCCCTACCAGTTGTTGTGGAACACGCTGTCCCAGCAGTCGGAGATGTAGTCAGAGGCAGCGTAGAGCCATCGAAGGAGAAAAACCTGTTGGGAGAGCAGACGGACAGTGGTGAGGATGGACCCCAGGGCAGAGCCCTGTCCCCAGCATGGCGCACGGCTGAACCTCTGCTCTCAGCAGAAATCCACACCAGCTCTGTGAGCCGGGGGCCCTTCTGAAGTCCACCTTCCCAGCCACGATGCTCACAGGGGCAAGTTCATCGGTCAGGTCAGGAAGCACAGCTTCAGAGGACAGAAGAGCAGGGTCTTTCCGCAGCTGGTCGAGAAAACCCAAGAGGATGAACCTGTCACTCTCACTCCCGGTCCAGGGGTCCTCCAGAGTTTTATACACCACCCTCCCTGCTGTGTTGCGCCTTTCCAAGACAGATACCTGGGAGAGAAGGAGAGAAAGACCATGAGAAGTTGCGGAAACATCGTAAGCTAGTTTTTTCCAGAGAGGATGGAAAAGAGGACCTAGAGAAGTCAGCAATAAGCTCAAGGATCGAAGAGTCTAAAATATTTGCAAGAGATTTAAAGTTTTTTTTTTTTTTTGGGGGGGGGAGGTTTTTGCTATAGGGCACGTGAGCTCGCCAGACAGAGAGAGACAGAGAGACAGAAAGCGAGAAATCACCCCCCAGGGGGGATGGTCATGCTGCAATCCCTTCTCCTCCACTCTCCTCTCGGGATCTTGGGCACGCACGCACACACGCCCGGCGTGAGTTTTAAGCCACCGGGTCTGGGATGCGAACCGTGGTCGACTACGTGAGAGTCCAGCGACATAGCCATTACGCTAACTGCTGGTTCCCAAGATTTAAAGGTTTTTGATAAAGAAATGATTTTTATGATGACTTTCTAAAACTTCTGTTAAAAGTTTAAGCTCTTCTTTTTCTCTGTAGACTTTGTCCTATAACCTCTGACTTAATATTATAATAAAGGAAATCTTTGTTTTTCAGAGATTTTTTCTTTTTTTGGAGAAGTTTTTGCTATAGGGCGCATGCGTTCGCTAGAAAGACAGAGAGAGACATAGAGACAGAAAGCGAGAAATCATCCCCCGGGGGGATGGCCACGCCGCAATCCCTTCTCCTCCATTCTCCTCTTGGGATCTTGGGCACACATGCATACGCGCCTGGTGTGAGTGTAAGCCACCGGGTCCGGGATGCAAACTGTGGTCGACTACATGCGAGTCCAGTGACATAGCCATTACGCTAACTGCTGGTCCCAAGGAACCCTTTGTTTTTCAGAGATTTTTGTCAATTGCCAAAATAATGAAAATATGAGAGGAGATGGGGCCGGCAGGTGGCGTGCTGGTTAAGGGTGCTGGACTCTCACATGGCCTGTGGCTTCCTTTCTCACTTTCCCCCTCTCTTTCTGGTCAAATTGGAAAAAAATAATAAATAAAGTTAAAATAAAATAATTCTTGAAAGAAAATATGAGAGAGTTCCATACTCCTGTAGGGAGTGATGCTGAAGGGAGGAAAGATTAGGATGAACAGAAAAAGGCAGAGGAGGGGGGAAATCTCTAAAGCTTATAATATTACCACAGAAAAATCTGGGGAAAACGATGATGTGCTTTAACCTTTACTCATAAGAAAGATGACTTCTGTGGAGGCCTGTGATTGTGGAGACCTGAGTCTAAAAGCTCATGTGAAGTGGGCATGCTAAAGATTATCTTAAGAGTAGGTTTTCAGGACCAGTAGATGGTGTAATGGTTACGCTGCTGGCCTCCCACATAGTTGACAGGCTCGAGTCCCAGACCTGGCAGTTTAAAACTCATGCCAGATGTGTGCATTTGTGCCCAAAATCCCGAAAAGAAAACGGAGGAGAAAGGACTGCAGTGTGGCCATCCCCCCTAGAGGTGATTTCTTGCTGTCTCTCTAGTGAGTGTGCACATTCTATAACAAAAATTTCTCTTAAAAAAAAAGAGTATGTTTCCAGAGCCCAGCTGCCTTGGTGCACATGGGAGCACACTCCTGTGTGAGGGCGGGGTCACACGGAAGGCCCAGATGCTGTTCTCCAGTCAATCTGAGCATGCTGGATGCAGTGGTGCCAGGGCTGTGACCCCAGCTCACGGGGAGGCTGGGCCAGAGGATCACAATGTGGTGAAATCTTGTCAAGCAAAAAATACCCCTCGCTCCCTCCCTCCTTCCTGCTTCACACTCAACCTCTTGTTCTCATAAAACAATGCAAAGGGTAGGCCTTCTAAACATCTTCAGAGATTTCCAGATCTCCTGGAGTCTGGATTCAGTATTTCCAAGAAAGAAGGAAAGAGAACCTGGTACCACGAGCTCAGATCAGGACGGGCTCTGGGGCTCACCGCGGATTTCCCTCGAAACGCCTCGGTGTCAGGCAGTAAGGTGCTGGCAAACTCCTGCTGCCGGCCGCTGTAGACGTGCACGAATCTCACCGTGTCTTGCGTGTTTGCCAGGGCAAAGGACAGGAAAGCATCAAAGGGTTTGCTCAACTTGGTGGCCTCGGGAGTCAGTAACACCACACAGTACCTGCACAGCAGCAAAAGAAAAATCCTTATAACTGGTCCCAAGGGCAGGGCTAGACTGTGTGATGAGTGAAGGTGCAGAAGAGGAGGTGGTCATCTCATGGAAGGAAACACATTGTGCATGATGACAGCTGACATTTCTGGAGATTTCCAATCACTGAAGACCCGATTCCAGACTGGTAATGTTTTCCCCAAACCAATCTTCTTCATCACATTTAGGAATTTGTTTTGAGACAGAGGACACAGCATCCTTGATGCAGAAGGGCCTTTTATAAGTTTGTTCTATTCGGTTGTCGGAAAAGTCAAGATGTATTTTCTGATGTGCTTTTCGGTGCAAAAGTGCACCATGACTTTCCTGACAACCCAACAGTCCCTGTACCACCAGGAGGATAGTGGGATCCACCTTAGACCAGAGGCAGCCAGTGGAAAGCTTAGCTCGTAATCGTCCATTTCCCCAAATGTTTACTGAGCTCTTCCTACATGTCAGGTAGGACAGATGACACTCTCGTCCTTGTGGCTCCTACACCCTAGTGGGGAAGCCAGACAGAAAACAGGTGTATCACAACAGGTAACGACAGAGCTAGGAAAAAAAAAGAGGGGATCAAGAGAGACCAGGTTGGGCGGGAGTGGGTGGGAAGATGGCACCGAGAGGGCGACACTGGCGCAGAGACCTGAATGGAGTGTGTCATGCGAGGGACAGGGTCAGAGCCTCCTAGGCAGAGGACAAGTGCAAAGATCCTGAGGCGGAGAGTGACGTGACCTGATTGCCATTTTTTTTCTTTAAAAGGAATTATTTATTTAATTTTATTTATTCATTCATTTATTTAAATTTGACCACACACACAGAGAAAGAGAGAGAGAGAGAGAGAGATGGAAAGTGAGAAAACAAGCCACCAGGTCCAGGACTTGAACCATGGTTGGCCATGTGGGAGTGTCTAGTGCCTTAACCACCACGCCACCTGCTGATTATTATTTATCTATTTTTTTGGTTTGCTATAAGGCTATGCAGTTGCCAAGGGGAGGGAGGGAGGGAAA